AGTTATGCACAGACATGTTCCCAAGCGGGCGGAGCGCGCTCTTGCGCGGAATGGTTTTCTATGAGACTGTTGACCGGGGCGCACATGTTCCTTTGATCCACAACGACATATCTACATCACACAACCAACATTTTTGCTCCGGAGAAGTATGCGCGGCCGCGGCCTGACTATCTGCGTTCAGGGTATCTTACAGTGGACTGAAATGTCATGGGGATCTTTCGAAGTGAAGTACAGTAACTTTTTCTTCGCGTTGTTTCTTCTTCTCCTTCTTATTCGTTCTCGTTTCTTCTTCCTGCTTCGTCTTTTGTCCTGCTCGCTTGTCGTTTTCTTCTTCTTCTGCTGATATGTTTTCTTATTAGTCTTCTTCCTTGTTTGCTTTTTGCCCCATCCATGGATCACCTTGGAGAATGGGGCCTCTGTTAAGTGACCACGCAACACCCAATTCATGTGAACCAAGCGCTTGGATCGCACACCCACCTTTTGATCCTTACTCTATGGATCGAGGTATGAGTCGTGTGTGTAGGTGTGTGATCCAAGCCTTCTGTTTTTGACCGCAGCCAAGGAAACGGGGCTGAGTATAGGAGAAGCAGAAAACAAAAGAGAAGAAAGGAGGAGAAAGGAAAGCGAAAAGAAGAAGACAAGAAGCGGGAAGGGAGAAAGGGAACAATTAGGTAGAAGAAAAGGCAAAATGATGGAGACATGAAAGAGAAAGCAAAAAAAGGAACCTGGATAAGACAAGGAAAAGGCCCGCAATTAACTTTGTTTTTGTCGCTTTTTTGCTTTCTTGTTGGCGCCCTTAGCAATAACCTCGGCTATGTTGGCACGGTCCCTTTCCTTCGTTATGGGGTTGCGGTGGTCTGATGTGTAGGAGCTGGTGAAAGATTCCAAAAAGGTATCTATGTTAAGTTGTTGTTTAAATATCTTTCTCCGCTGGCGGCAGGCGCAGCACACGGCGAATTTCAACAAGTTATGGCGGGCGAAGGGTTTTGTAAGCTGGAACAAAGTTGTTGAAGGCGCAGCACTTAGTGATCTGAGTGACTTAGTGCAGGTTTCGCGTGGCTATCGCAGCACTAAGTGACCTTGGCGCCCTGATCTTAGCGTCCGCATCATATATGAGAGGGCGAAAGCCGGGCGGTCCTGAGCATCCACTGTTGTGGGGTCGCGCTGGCGTTGCGTCTATACGCTATCTATCTCGCTGCTGACACAGGGCCAACTCTCTGGGGCGAGAAGTCGACATGGCTGCTGAACAAACCGAACAAAACGCTGCTGGCGCAGGATGACAAGACCTACGCGTAAACTGCCTCCCGATCCTCTTGGGGAGGCCACAAAAACAATAGCAATGAGCAAAAGGACACGCAAAGTCGAACACACACACACACCCTCTCATAGAAATGCGTACTGAACTGAATCCCGCTTTCCACACGGCAACCTAAGAAACCAGATTCCTGAGAGGAACACCGAAACCTGTGGATTGTGGAGGTCTTCAGATGAAGATGAGGTCAAAAGCGCAAGAACCAAAAATTCGAGCACGGGTCGACCAAGATGACGACGTGCGCTCATGTCTGCCAAGCGCGTTAGCCCTCTAAAGAAAATGAGAGTGACAGCTTGAAAACACCACAATTAAGCAGGTACGTGATCCCAGCGTCCCAGGATCATATCAGCCATGGGACGCAGCCCTCTTCGTTGGACAACCGATTGCGTTGGAGAGACTGGCGCCTGAGGATTGTCGGCGTTCTCACTGGGAAATGGAGTGCCCAAGGTGACAGGCGGAGAGGGAAGGGGGATGTCAAGCGCGGCAGTCGTCGAGGGTCCGGCAGCCTGTGATGGTTCAAGACGTGGGGTTGTTGGTAGGTCGTAAGTTGGTGAATCAATGACCCAAAGACACGCAGGTGATCCTGAGGCGCCAATCCACGAAGAGCGGGGATCCCAGCTATACCCCAGTCCGAAAGTTGCTGAACGAAACATGAAGCTAAAATCATACGATGGCAGCATCTCTTTTCCTCGAGGCTCGGAGAACTGGAGAACTAGGTACCTAGACCTCAGGATCTCACAGCAATGGACAGCAGTGTTATTAAATAACACTGGAATTCAGTCGTGGTATCAAACTCACAGACTAGCTTGGTAAGTCATCTTGGATGAACTTGCCATCCAACTCACTGCAATAAATCAACAATCACCCACTGTCCATAAAGGGAGAAATGAGGCAAGGTCCTCTGGCCGGGCAACCTGCTCAAGAGAAGAAGGAAAAACAAATTCAAGAAGCTGCCAAGCTTGGCCTCTAGTCCACTCATCTTCTAGGCCAGCTCTGCTCAAGCCGTCCGAGGGGTTGGCGGGTCAGGTCGCGGAATCCGAAAGCGTACAAGTTCTCCATCCGAATAGATGAAGTACCGCTTCAGCAATCCGAGGCACGCCCTCCATGGGCGCCAGACCAGCAGGCGAAGGCGGCATGGCGGGAGGAGCGGGAAGAGGTGGAGGAGGAATCATCCCTCTAAGGCCCCGGCAGGTTGCACTGCAACCACGTGGTGGCGTGCCCGAATGCTGCCTACAGCTGACCGCTCTGGTCACCTCATGGCTTGTCCGAAGACTGCCTACTTCGAACGCAAGAGTCCGTCAAGTCTTGGCAAGTGACTTTGGCGCAAGCCTACTGGCACCCTGGGCTGGCGTGAAGCCAGACACACTTGTAGAAACGCGTACTGGCTGGAAAGCCGCTTGCCACACGGCAACCTAAGAAACCAGATTCCTGAGAGGAACACCGAAATTGTGGATCCTGGAGGTCTTCAAACGAAGATGACACCCAAAGCGCAAACCGGAAGCGACAAGCAAGATCACGACGTCCACACATGTCTGCAGAACTCAGTAGACCTTTACGAAATCTTAAACATTGGTGCAGGTACACAAGAAGGCGTCCCTTCTCGCTTCACCAGTTGTGAGCCCGTCTTCGTTGGTCCAGGGCCAACTCACAACTGCCTGGACCCCCTGCTGCAATCTCAAGAAAACGTAACAATCCAAAAGGACCCCTATGACTCCAAGGGTTACACACACAGGAAACAAGCAACAAGCAACAAGGAACGGGGGAAGCCGGACTCAGATTTGGGCTCACAAGCATTAACATGAGCAACAGGGTGGATAATGCTTTTTTGACGCGCGTGCCCTAGGAGGGAGCAAAGGATTCATGCAGGACCAGAAGGACAGGGGGCCAACCAAGGGACTAGGAAACCAAGGAGGGACCAAGGGACCAAGGGAACTGTGGACCAAGGGAGCAGGGGACCAAGGGACCTGGCGACAAACAATTGATTTTGCTTTGGTGTATTCTTTTTCTTGATGCGTATCAATATGTGTCTTGATGCTTCTTACTACTTTTCTTGATACCTATTCCTCAAAGACAACGCCAACAACTAATCAAAGAGCAAAGAGACTCACCACGCTACAAAAAGATGAGAAGTGGAAAATACAACCAGGAGAAAGCAAGGAAAGAAAGAGGATTCACAAGGAAGCGATGAAAAGCAAGGAAAAGCAACACAAGCACAGAAAACCAGGAAAAGCAGAGAAGCAGTGAGAAGATAGGAAAAGCAACACAAGCACAGAAAAGCAAAGAAGCAGTGAGAAGCAAGCACAAGCAAAACAAGCACAGAAATGGCACCAAAAAAACTATTCAAAAGTTAAATACCCCTCCAAAGGGAAAGCAGAAAGGAAAGGAAAGGAAAAGGAAAGGAAAGAGTATGAAAGGCAAAACAGAAAAGAGTAGAAAGACATGTAATAGCTTCAACCAAATCATATGCCAAGTCGCTCTTCATCTGTGGACACACCAGCCGGGTGCTCAAACTGGTCCCACACAAGGGACCAGCTTGAGCACCATAGACATAGGCCAGCGCGAATGCCTTACATGACAAATCAAAGGAAAGGGAAGCGAATGTTCAACCAATTATGGAATTATGGAGTTAACTAACATATATTATATAGTAAATATATATAATATGCATCTGGGGCACAGTCCCAAAGCGCGCGAAGCGCGTCCCAGGACGAGAAGAAAACCGACATGCCATTGCGCTGCATATGCAGGAAGCGATGACAGGATCTTGATCCAGGAGATCTTTGAGCCAAAGTTGCTATCGACATTCGAGACCCATGCACCTGTCTATGCTGCTGAGAAACAAGTGGGTGTTGTGCTTGACATACTGTGTATTGGTGCTTACCCATGTTCAAGTATCTTACTATTGCTAATTTCTCATAGTTCCGGTGCCCACATGGTGAATTTTGCAACGCTCAGCACTTGCCTTGACCTTGAGGTTCCTCGGCTGCCACAATTCCGTAGGCAGTTGCTGCAGCCTAGCTGCACATGGATGGCAGTTCTATCAGCGTATCAACATATTTTGGCAGTCAACGCTGATGGAGAAATTGGTAAATTCGATCCTACTTCAACTGCACTCCGTGCGGTCACTTTGAAGAGAAAAGATTAGAAAAGGTATAATATTCGGCGCAATAATCAGGCAAAAAAGCAAAAAAAATAATTGGAGAAGGAGCAGGTGAAACGGCACTTCCATGCACTTTCCAGCGCCTGCTATTGAAGGAATGTATGGCAACCAGCCCTTGTTCTTCCATCATCCGGAAAAAGCATTAGCTCAGCAGTGCTCAGTACTCGCCTTGGCGTTCAACTGGAGCTCGGCCGCCACAATTCCGTAGGCATTTGCTGCCGCCTAGCAATGCAAAGAAGGCAATCAGCATAGTTTGCTGGTCACCGAAACGAAAAGGTTCGGTCAGTCCTCCAACCCTAGAGACGTTTGTAAATCCCGTGTCAAGCCTACCTCCATTACACTTCCTGCAATCACATTGAAAATGAACGAGCTCGAGGTATTCAAAACGTTGACAATACATGCAACGTGTTCGCAATGAATAGATTGAACATTTGAAGGGTCCCAGCATCCCCTCCACCGACAGCGTACTCTCTTCACTCACACTCCAACATGAACTGTGTGTGTGCGTGTTTTCCTTGGCGCCATGCCTTATACAACCATGTCAGCCTCCGTTGTTGGGTGGGAGCAGCACGCAAAGGATTCTTGCAGACCCTGGCCGGGGCGGCCGGAAACGAGCGACGACCGACGCCCAGAAGCGACGACCGACGCCTCCCAGAAGCTCCAGGCAGCATCCCGTTGCTCAGCTGCCTGGATCGAAGGCGGACGGAGTCCGGAAGGATGCGAAGTGGGGCGGTCTCCCCGCTTTGCGGCGACGCCTTCTTGTGAATTGCGACGGCAGCAAGGATGACACGTCTTTCCATTTGCTCATCACTCTCCTGCAAGTCAGAAAGCAAACAAAAGGTGAAGTCGAATCAACACCAGCGGCGCCTCAAGGATCACACGGTATCCAGGGGATCTTGGAATGTCCAAGCCGACCACGATCCAACGCAGACTCAGCCACTCTGCCATGGCTACCACCAACAGTAGGGTCGACTCCAAGGGTCGACGCAAAAAAATTGAAGTTGGGGTCGCCGTGACTAGCGCGCTTTTTGTTGAAGGCTGTTGTGAAAGCAGAGTGTTGTGAAAGCAAATGTCAGAAGCCTCAAGAGCCACAGCTGACACAACTCACTGGTGGACAATTCCTGAGTGCAAATAGTCCTAGCATAGGCTCCAGCTGTTGGAAGTGGCATGCAAACAACATATGTCATATGATCATGTGTTAGAAATAATTGAGAACAATAATACAAGTAATGGTTGATTCCGGGTCATATGTGCAAAAAACGAGTGGATATACAGTGATAAAAACTCAATTATTACAGTAGATCAAATTCCAAACTCTGCATCACTGTTGCATGCATAGCCGCGCGAAAATATACCCGGACGAGGCGGTAGAGAAAGGGAAAGCGGGACAAGGCTCGGACAATCCACTGATCAAAGGGCTGACAACGCGGACAAGTAGGATAGACAGACGCGCTCACACGGCGCGGCCAAACAGGACACACATCCGGACAAGGCAGGTTCCACACCACGGCCATGGCTATCATCACCAGCCGTGAAGGACGCCAGGCGGACACTGGTTCCACACAGGATTCACAAGCGTGGCGCGAGGACAACAGGAGCGCTGCCCTTCAAGATCCTTGCTTGACCTCTTCTGAGTGTTGTTTTGATTCACGGAATTCTGACCTGAAAATATGTCTAACAAATATTATTTTGGGATGCGGTAGTTAATTTGTCTTTGATTTGTGAATTGCTTATATATATATATATACGTTAATTAACTTTTGTTGATGCACACGCCAATCAGCACCAGCGTCTGGCCTCAGGCAAGCCGGATAGGATCACGAACGAGAGTGAGCACTGTAAACCAACCTTTGCAATGCTTGGGGGTTGACCCTCAATTCTAGATCATGATGGTTATGAGGTTCGCACATGCTAGCCACAATTAAGCCATCCTGATTTGATACACCTGTGTTGGTCTATTGTAAACCACCGGTGACAGAACCTTGCAGTAGATGGACCTCAACAGCGTGAACAGAATTCCCGGCGTGTTTCCAACAGCTTCTAAAACGGCCAGGACGGGCCAGACGTGCTTAACACATTCCGCACTTGATCTACTGTAGTCCGGAGTCAATGACAATGAATAGATCGACAAGATTGAGCACCGACTATCTCCAATCTCAACGTTCTAACCTTGCTGAATGCATTGCATCTGAGTAGCGCACCCAAACCAAAGGCTCTTCACCCAAGCTCCTCCACGCATTCGGGGAGGAAGGCCCAAACTAGCTAAACTACGTTCCAAACTGGGGAGAATAACCTACTGAAAGGTTGCCACATAGGGCATCTCTCCTTGATCCTTGGCAAAATGGTACAAAAGAAAAAAACAACCAGTGCATGTAATTACGCGATGTCTTTTCTCTGAGCTGTACATGTCACTGAGGGAGAGTCTTCGGGACCTTCTTTACATCGACATGCCAATAAACGCAGGCACGTGCAAGGCTTGAGCTGTGAAAGCACTCGCGCTGCCTGCCAGGGAAACCAAAAGTATCAAATTCGCACTGAGGTGCATCAAAAGTTGCATCAGCAACACCTAATGGCTCTTCTGGCTGTGTTCGCAACTGTCACTCGCCACTCATCAGCAAATCATCGCCAGCCACGGTGGCCCAAGCCACGACCCCAGCGACGGCCGCCCCAGCCACGGCCCCAGCCACGGCCGCCCCAGCCACGGCCCCAACCACGGCCCCAGCGACGGCCGCCCCAGCCGCGGTGGCCCCAGCGACGGCCGCCCCAGGCAACAAAGGATCTCGCATCTGGACCTGATGTGGCCATCTCCTGTGGCTCCGTCTCATCATCATCCCAATCACCCTCCTCACCTTCCCAGGACTCAGGAGGGCCTTCCATGACGTAGCCATAAGGAACCCACTCCCATTCCATTGGCTCTGGGCCTTCCCTCATGCCATCAACGTCCCATTCACCATCCAGTGGCTCCTCCGCATCTTCCTTTGCTGGAACACGAGTGCCATGCGGATCGGCATGATCCTTCCCACTTGGCTTTGCTGGAATCTCCTTTGTTGGAACTCCAACATCAGCAGGATCTGCTGTCTCGCCCTGCTCTGGAGCCTGACTCTCCGGGGTTTCGGTCTCAACCTCCTTTGCAACTCCGGTGTCGTCTGGGTTCGCTGGCTTCTCTGCTGGATCATTGGCTGGGCTTTCCACAGCTGTCGACCCCTTAGAGTCAGCCGGCAGGTCGGGTTCCTTTGCTCCACGAAGTTGCTTCACTGGATCCTGGCTCTGGGCTTGCATGCACGTGAGTGCCAGGACAAGCACAAGAGATGAGAACCTCATGGTAGGATTTGCAGGAAGCGATGAAACGATCTTGATCCACGAGATCTTTGAGAACTTTGAGCCAAAGTTGCTATCTACGGTCCACAGGAATGGAAGTGTCCATGAATTGTGCGGTTCATAGCCGCTTACGCATGTTGAGGTGTCACTACTCTCTCAATCTCTCTCATATAGCACCGTACGTTCTGCAATGCTCAGCACCGGCCTTGATGTTCAACTTGAGCTAGGCTGCCACAATTCCGCAGACAGCTTCTGCAGCCTAGTAGAGCCGTGCAAGGAAGACAATCAACATATTTTGCCAGTCACTAAAATAGAAAGGTTGTGTCCTGCAACCCTCGAGAGGTTGGCAAATATTGTTTCGAGCCTACCTTGGATGCACCCCCCCCACAATCACATTCAAAATAAGGAACTCAAAAATGCAATGGCAATATATACATGCCCATTGTATACAAATGCAACAACCGCAACAATGTGATCAGAGAATAAGCTTTCCAGTGCTCATGTTAGGATCCACGGTGGTTGCCCCTGTTCTTCCGATCTTCCGGAAAAGGTGCAAAATGCATCAAAATGCACAAAAATGCATCGATGCACCTGAGTGTAGCACATCACAAACCAAGAGTTTCTTTCTCACCCAAGTTCCTGCACGCGGGTTCGAGGAGAAAAGGCTCAAACTACAATTCAGGCTAAGGAGACAACATGAATGGCGACCTCACAAACTAAGGTCACGAACTCCAAAAAACATCTCTCAACGTCGCTCCTGGTATGGAACAAACAGATCGTGCACACAAGCACTCGTGCACACAACGGAACACGCACTCACTCCTGATAGAAAACCATCTCGATGCAGCGGTCTGGCAGGAGGTGGCACTTCTGCACCGGGCAAAACAGCATGAGCAGGTATCAGAAGAGAAGTCCTGAAACGTTGCTTCTTCAAAAGCTCCCTCAGAAATCTGGTCCAGTCTCCCTCGAGCCACAATGGTTCTTTTCTTGACTTCGTGGTTCCAACCCCACATCTGGCTTGAAAGAAAACGTTATGACCTCATTAAAGCACTTCCAAACCAATTCCACACTCGTCGTGTCTGGGCATCCCCGCACCGTGTCCGTCGCGCCGTCGAGCGAGCAGACTCCTGGAGACCCGTTTGGTCTCGTGCGTGTGTCACACCGCTCGAGCGGTCCAAGCTCTAAACACGGTCAGCCACGATTGAAGGGTGGTGTGCGCTCTTTTCCACATCACGGTCTTCCAGCTTATGTGTTAAAAAAGAAACCTTCGAGCAGGGGGCGCCACGTCAAAGGCCGAAACTGTACACCGCATGACGCCCTCACACCGTCTCGGCCATCAGACCACTTGGCCTAGCCCGAGGCATACCCGGAAGCACTGGCCAGTGCAGATGTAGGCTGTCGGGAGGTAACAATCCCTCGACACACGGGGCAAGTTCCCACTCGGAATGCACAAGTGCGGCAGAATTGAGAATGACCACAGTTGAGTGTTGTGTCCGAAAGATTTTCATAGCAAAGGGCGCAAGTTGCCTCTGCTGCATCTTCCACCTCTTTTAAACAGGCATTCACGCTGCTCAGGTGCATACTCAACGCAGCATCATCTGGCGAAGTCCGGAGTCGCTCTTCCACAACTGCCTTCTGGCTTTTCAGCAATCGCATGTAGGCATCCCGAAGGCCCAACCTTTGATACTCTTCCAGGGATTCTTGGAGCTGTTGAGCACATTCTCGCTTGCGCTGCTCTGCTTCCATCACTGCTTGTCTCAAGCGCTCCTCTGCCTGGTCGACAGTCGTCCCCACCTCGACCCGCATTGCCACCCATCGCGTGACACTCGGTGGCCCGAGTACTGATGGTTGCAAGTTTCGCAAAGCTGCTCCTCGTTGAAAAAGCACCACAATGAGGCAAAGGGGCTGACGACGTTGGATGTCGCACAGTTGCAGTGGCAGCCTGGATGATGACAAACGTACTTTGACCAGCCAAACATTTCTTTTTTCAGCCGCCAGTGTTGAGCTTGTCTTGTTAGTGGTTCAGCACGGCCACCGTCTCTTATTTGCTGGGCATGGTGCAGCAAGTCACCCACGAGACGTTCATTCTCCACGAGGAGCTCCAAGTTGTTTGCGAGGTGAAACTCAATTTCTTCACGTTTGGCATTGAGCTCGAGAAACTTCTGTGATGGAACAGCTAACCAGCCAACACTCTCCATTGCTTTGAAGCTCTTGCGGATCTTTTTTGTCATCCTCTCTCGTGTTTGCTCGAGTAGGCTTGGATCCCTGATCAGCAGTTTCTGTACAAGACAAAATGGATTGTCTATCCACTCAAACCTGGGAATATTGATGCCAACCTCTTGAAAGCTCCTGATGTCAAAGTTGACGTCTTCCTCCTCTTCAGCATTTGTCAAAACGGCCACCACATGATCCACAACACTCTTGGGCATGATGGCTGTCAAATGTGAGAGGACATACTTCATGGTCGTGGTCATTCAAGAATCTTTGCCATTAACGACGACCATCACACTGTTGATAGTGCGAACATTCTCTCCCAAGCATGCCATGATGTTCTTGACGTGAAGCTCATCCTCTGTAACCAGGGGTGTCCATTATCGTAAAGTGCCAATTGGTAGCCAGCTCAAGCTGGTACACCCGCGGTTGCGAAGTCTTGCTTGCCATTCCATTTTCCATGGCATGTTCCACATCCAAGTCCTGAAGGTGTGCCAGCCCGAACTCAACAAGCTCAGGTGTCGACAGAACGACCTGCTCGTCAAAGAGAACCTTGAGCACAGTTTTGAAGTTGGCAATGAGGTTCATCAGGGAGGTTTTTCCAGAGCCTGTTTGCCTAAGCAGGAGGATGGTGTAGTTGTCTTCCCGATTGAATTTGGTAAAAACAGGCTTTCCTGGTCCTGATCCGATTGCTGCCCCCATTGCAGCTCCCCAAACTGTCTACGCCTAAGCAATGCTCTCTGGTGATTTATGGGATAAGCTGTGGAGCCAACAACAGAAGGATGCTGGTGACGTCAACTTACAGAGCTTGCCAGAACCCACACCAGTCAGAAAAACAAAAGCAGCAAAAAATGCAATCATATACAGTGATATATATATATATATACATATCAAACCACACCTTTCATGTGGAGCTTCATGCGCAGCAGTCACAAAGCGGACCTGGGTATCACAAGTCAAGAGTCTAAAAACTCAGAATCCGCACACTGCACATAAACAGTGGTTCTATGAGAAATGGCCGCTCAAGAGTGCAATTTTGCGGGTGATTCGCTACACTGGTGAAGCGAATCCTTTCCGCATTACAAGGTCAGTTGTTGGGCAGACCTTGCAAACCTGTGCATTGATGCCCAATGGCCACCTGCCAACTTTCCACAAAAGAAACTTGTAGCCTGAAGTTCCACGAGCTGAGGCAGGAGCACAGCCGAGAAGTGGGTATGGAAGATGATGTTCCTCTTCCAGCTGCAAGGCTAGGACTGGAAAAAACGCCCAGTCGACAACTTGATTGAGTCCCCTTTTAAACACCAGACTGACCCTGGTCAAACCATGGCATCAGTGAAGATCTTCGAGTTTTGTTCCTGTCCTTCACCTCAAGCGGGACACCGAAATACTACTATGTGGGAAAAGAGAAAAGTAAAGGAAAAGACATGAAAAAAACAGCATTGAGTCGGTTCCCCCGCTTTTTGAGTGGAATGGATTCTCTCCCATATTGATAGAAATTGTGTGTTTCAGGTATTTGCAACTAGTCAGTCAAAGTCTTGCGGCTTTTAGGTGGCCCTTTTCAATGCACTCAGATTCATGTCAATATCACATCAACTGGCCCAAGACCGCCATTGGTCCTGGTCCAGTTCATACGTGCTTTTGGAGGCGCTGCTGAAATGCTCCTGACGTTGCAAGAATCGTTTCTGAAGCATTGCTCCTCTTAATCTTGTCAACGGTTCTTGAAGTCTACAGTTACAACTACTATATATAGCCTATATACAATATCTTCCTATAAAGCTTATCTCACAGTCTCACTGATGCAAGCATCCTGTCACACGGTCCTCCACGTGAACCAGCTAGATGCTGGCAATCGTACTGCATTTACCTGATACCACTCTGGTTTGGAATCCTAAGGACGTGATACCATCCTGGATCAATCATCTACACTGATACCTTGAACAGGTCTACATTTTATGGTTTGGAATATGCAAGCTACGGTCAAGTCCTCCACGCAGGAAAGCGAAGAACCGTCTTCAGAAATCTTTGTGAGTGAAAAGAAATGCACCAGTTGGCAAGAAAAACAGAAGATATTGGATGAGAAGAAACTAACAAACATGTGTCTATGGGATCTTGCTCCTCTGTCTGGGATGGGAGAGAACGTTCATGGGTAAAGATCCCCCAATAACAAGGTCTTTCTCAAGCCAACTAAAAAAGTATGGATAAAGTGGTAAAGAATCATCCCCAAAAAAGAATCATTGCCATGTTGGTCCTTTTGCAATCCAATGGCTGTCGGCCAGTTGGGAAGACGCGAGGGACACCAAGGTGCACATGCATCCAACGGTTTTGGAAGACGCGAAGCGTCGAAAAGAAAGGGTCAGTGGGACTTCTACAGCTTCTTGTTACTCATAGTAAGAATGCTCCGATCATAGCGTCCCTTGTTACTAGTAGTAAGGCCATAAGCTGCTAGTAGCGTCCGATCGCTCCTGTTAGGAATGCCCTTTGTTACTAGTAGTGATGCCCTTGCTCCTAGGAATGTAGATTGATTCATAAACCTCCCCAATTGAATTGAACAACCTCTGAGAACACTGGCGGTGTTTCGTCAAGAGTCTACATTCCTCTTGAAGAGACGAAAATGGGTCTCGTGACAAGTCTCAAGAGACTCTCTCGATTCTTTGGGACACAACCAGCTCAGCTCTTAAGCTATGTATGCTCAATTCTCTGCAAGAAGTATATCTAAATCTATACAGTATCACTTTATAAAACCACTCGTT